TTGTCAATTTTTGTATTTTAATTTATAGGAGAAGTTAGAATAATTTTGTGTTTTAGTACTGTCTGTATGATTTTTGTATCAGCATAATCCTGGTCTTACAAAATGAGTTGGGTAATATTTCCTCCTCTTTTCTGGAAAAGATTATAAATGCTTGTTGTTAATTCTTTTTTTTTTTCTTTTTATTCTGGGGATGGAACTTGGAACCTTGTGCTTTTAGACAGTCGCCAGACCCACTGAGCCAAATCCCCGGCCCGGCACTGGACTTTTTTGTTTGTTTGTTTTTGGTTTTTTGGTACCAGGGATCGAAGTCGGAACCTTGCACTTTCGAGATAGGCTCCGAACCCACTGAGGTAAATCCCCGGCCAAGCACTGGGCTTTTTGTTTTTTGTTTTTTTGGGTTTTTTTTGGTAGCAGGGATCGAAGTCGGAACCTTGCGTTTTCGAGACAGGCCCTGGACCTACTGAGCTAAATCCCTGGTCCAGCACTGGGCTTTTGTTTGGTTTTGTTTTTGTTGTTTTTTTGGTACCAGGGATCAAACTCCGAACCTTGTGTTTTCGAGAGAGGTGCTAGACCCACTGAGCTAAATCCCCGGCCCAGCACTGGGCTTTTTAATTGACACTCTTTATCAAGTTGATATAATTCTTAGTTTGATAAATTTTTATGGTGAATGGATGTGGGGCTTTTTGAAATAATTTTTTTCTTCGGCAATTCATAGCAGCATATTCCTTCTTTAGTTTGTTGAAATAGTGGATTATGTTTATTTTTACATGATGATCAAGACTTGTATGCATGTAATAAATTCTGTTTTGTCATGGTATGTAATTCAGTTGCATTAAGCTAATATTTTGTTGTCAATTTTTGTACTTTAATTTGTAGGAGATGTTAGAATAGTTTTCTTTTTTAGTACCGTCTGTATGATTTTTGTATCAACATAATACTGGTCTTACAAAATGAGTTGGATAATATTTCCTCCTCTTTTCTAGAAAAGATTATAAATACTTGTTGTTAATTCTTTTTTTTTTTTTTTTGTATACCGGGGATGGAACTTGGAACCTTGTGCTTTTGAGGCAGGCGCCAGACCCACTGAGCTAAATCCCTGGCCCAGCACTGGCATTTTTTTGTTTGTTTGTTTTTGTTTTTTTGGTAGGAGGGATCGAAGTCTGGGAACCTGGCCCTTTCCAGGCAGGCGGTGGACCCACTGAGCTAAATCCCCGGTCCAGCACTGGGCTTTTTTTTTGTTTTTGTTCTTTTTTTGATACCAGCCATCGAACTTAGAACCTTGAGCTTTCTAGACAGACCCCAGACCCACTCAGCTAAATCCCCGGCCCAGCACTGGGCTTTTTAATTGACATTCTTTATCAAGTTGATATAATTCCTAGCTTGATGAATTTTTGTGTTGAATGGATGTGGGACTTTTTGGAATAATTTTTTTCTTCGGCAATTCATAGCAGCACATTCCTTCTTTAGTTTGTTGAAATGGTGGATTATGTTTATTTTCACATGATGAACAAGACTTGTATGGGTGTAATAAATTCTGTTTTGTCATGGTATGTAATTCAGTTGCATTAAGTTAATATTTTGTTGTCAATTTTTGTATTTTAATTTGTAGGAGAAGTTAGAATAATTTTCTTTTTTAGTACTGTTTGTATGATTTTTGTATCAGCATAATACTGGTCTTACAAAATGAGTTGGGTAATATTTCCTTCTCTTTTCTGGAAAAGATTATAAATACTTGTTGTTAATTCTTTTTTTTTCTTTTTTCTTTTTTAACTGGGAATCGAATTCAGGTCTCTGTGGTTGCAAGGCAGGAGTTGGAACCACTGAACTAAATCCCGACACTTGTTGTTAATTCTTTACATATTTGGTAGAATCCTCCAGCGGCACCATTTGGATCTGGAGTGTTTTTTAGGGGGAGTTTATAAATTATGAATCATTTTTCAATGGTCTCGGTGCTCTTCCAGTTGTCTATTCCATATTGGTTGCATTCTGGTAATTTTCAAGGAATTGGTCCATTATTACTAACTTTAAATTCATGAACATAAAGTTCAGAGTACCGTGTTACCTTGGTTTATGAACTTAATTTGTTTTATGATTTTGATGAAGATGGCTGTAGTTGTGTTTGTCATCTGATGCATGGTTTGTGAATGGAAGCAAAATTTTGCCAAACGCTTTTGTTTGTGAACTGAATTTCTTGCAAACAGAAGCATTCATGAACCAAAGTATTACTTTACTCACTTATTGTATTTTAATTGCTGCAGAGTATGTAGTGATATACTGCCCTCCATGCCTCCCTATCTTTCTGTCTTTCATCTTTTTTTATGATGAGGCTTTCTTGATATTGGTGATCTGTGTGTTTACTTTTCTTTCTTTTTTTTTTTTTGTATTGGGGATTGAACTGGGGACCTTGTGCTTGCGAGGCAGGTGGAGGAACCACTGAGCTAAATTCCCGGCCCTGTGTCTTTATTTTTGTTAAGTCTTGTTACAGGTCTAGCCATTTTATTAGTTTTTTAAAGCAGAAGCTTTTTGTTTGACTGTGATTTCTGCTCTCATTTTTATTATTTCCCCCTTTTAGCCTGCTTTGGATTTATTTTCCTTTTTGTATAGTTTCCTGAAGTAGGAACTTAGATGATTGATTTGAGACCTTTCCTTTTTTCTGTTGTGAGCACTTAGGGCTACAGATTTTTCCTCTGATAATACTTTAACTAGATTTTATATATTTTGTTATACTTTCATTTCATTCAACTCTACTTTAAATTTTCCTTTGAGACTATCTTTGAACTGTGGATTACTTAGAAATGGGTTTTTTATTTCTATATATATTTAGATTTTCCGAGTTTTTGTTTTTGATTTCTAGTTTGATTATATTTTCTGTCAGAATTGTCTTTCTTACTGAAGTTGTGGTTTTTCTTAGTTCTTTGTATGATGAATAATTTTTATTGCATCCTAATTCTTGTGTATATTAGAAGAGTTTGCATCATAGCAAATATTTTATTTTAAATGTTGAAATCAAACATTTACTGGTACAAACTAAATGCTGGCATGAAAAGCCTTCTGACTTTTATGGAGTATGCTTCCAATTGCAGTTTTAAGTTTCAGAAACTTTATGATATTAACTTTGGTTTATATGGTACAGTTGGGGTTCCCATGAGTCCCAGCTGGTTTTGCCTGAAGCTGTGGAAGGCATTTCTCTTGAGCAGGGTGTCTCTCAGAGGGGAAGGGGAATTAGGACCCATAGAGATGAAGAGGCTTCCTAAGCCAGGCCACTTGGGTCTGGTTCACTCTTATTAGCTGTGCTGCTTCACTTGTAAATCTCGTGTTGAAGGGAGGAAGTCTCATGTTTATGATGTTAAAGAGGCCTCTTTTCAATTTTCATTGATTTGGCTGGATGTTTCTTGCCAGTTCTGCTTGTATCTTGATCTTTTTCAACTAGGGTTGGGGAAACTCTCCAGCCCAGTGTGGAAGGCACGTATCTCTCCTGGCTGTGTACTGTTGACAGATTCCAGGTTGGTCCCCTTTGCCAGTTGTATCTGGTTTGCCTGATGTTGTCAGAAGGTTTCCCAGTCAGGGTGGGGAAGGAATAAGAATCCCTGGATCTGAGTTACCTTCTTATGCTGGGTGTTGGGGTATGTCATTGTCATTTTGCTCTGTCATTTTTCCATTCCTGGGGTCCCAAACTAGTTTGCATTCTTCTCAGTTTTTAGAATTCTCTTTTGGTTATTTCTTGCATTATTTAATGGATCTGTTGTTGTGCCTGGAAGAAAGACTCAGGGAGAGAGAGATTTTTGCCATTTTGTCAGACTAAACCAAAGTCACTTGTTTGCTGTATTTTAAAAAGCAATCATTATTGATTTTTCTCTCCATTCATGTAGTTTTATGGTATGGGAAACAGATGTTTGATTCTTCTATTTGTTCTAACAGGGTTAAAGCTCAAAAATGACACCAGAAATGATCAGCCTAAATCTGTTTCTGCATCAGAAATACAAGCACCAGAACGCAAAATATCAAAGAAGACCAGAATGAAAGTTGCCCAGAAAACAGCAGCCAAGGAAAATCATGGTGATACATGCAGGGTAGAGAAACACAGTCGAGGTTTTCCAAGGAAAAAGAGAAAGAATCTTTCAACTTATAAACAAAAGCTTCCAAAACTTAGGGATCTTCACAGGAAGGGTCACCCAGGGGAGAAACCTTTTAAGTGTCAGGAATGTGGGAAAAGCTTCAGAGTTAGCTCTGACCTTATTAAGCACCAGAGAATTCACACTGAAGAGAAGCCCTATAAATGTCAACAGTGTGACAGGAGGTTTAGATGGAGTTCAGATCTTAATAAGCACTTTATGGCACATCAAGGAATAAAACCATATATATGCTCATGGTGTGGGAAAAGCTTCAGTCATAACACAAATCTCCACACACACCAAAGAATTCACACAGGAGAGAAGCCTTTTAAGTGTCATGAATGTGGAAAAAGATTTATTCAGAACTCCCACCTTATTAAACATCAGAGAACCCACACAGGTGAGCAGCCTTATACTTGTAGCATGTGCAATAGAAACTTTAGCAGACGGTCAAGCCTTCTTAGACACCAGAAACTGCACAGAAGGAGTCCAGTATCTCCAGTCTAAGGAAAGTCACCATATAGAACAACAGAAGTAATGAAAGATTATAAAATTTTGAGGTGCTCAATGATAGGAATGTGTTACCAAAAGAAAATTTGCAATAGATTTATGTCCTGTGGCACAGAAACAAACCCAAGCTGTCTATTACTCAGCATTGTATCTTCGGTGCTTAGCATAAGACTGATACATGATAAGTTATTTACAAATAAAAGAATGAAAATGTAAATATAGCTCTTTGTTTATATGTATTCATCTGATTACTCAGACCTTACACACTCAGTGTTATAAGCTCTTCAGGTACTAGATGCTGGGTAAATGTGTGATGGGCATGAATCCTGCTCTCATTCTTCAGTTTTTCTCAGGTGAGATGGAAAATAAGGGTAGACAAGGTCATCTCAAGAAAGCCTAGAAAGAATAACTAAGATTGGGACAATCTCAGTGGTTATGATTCAATCTGTAATGACAGCCAAGCCCAGGGCTCAGGGAACTTTAATCTGGGACAGAAAGAGAATCAAATGTTTGCCCTGGGAGAAGTACCCTCCCATTCTAGTTGTCTTTCTCCTGAGAACCCACTACTGCTGTGCCTTCTGTCAAATAATTTCAAGGAGCAAGGGAAGGCCTGAAGGCCAATGAAGACCCAGGAACCTTGCAAGAACTTGATATTTCTCTCCTGCAAATCCTCTCAATACAGGCTTATAGAATGAAATGATAAGGGTCTGGGTCCTCATCCAGGTGTCCTTTTGTAGAAAGCACAAGGCAGTGGTGAATGGCCTTTTTCGGCTTTGATTATGTGCACAAGAGGCTTTTAAATTGATATGTACTGTTCCAGGGCCTAGAGAAAGGTCCATTTTTATGACTGCTCAATTATCCATTTACCTGAATGATCAGCTGGAAAGTCTGAGCATTTAGTTTACTGAAAATGGCAAGGAAAGCCCTGGGGCTTCGTGGGCTTGGTGCACATCTGATACCAGGAGGAAACATCCAGAAATACCTTAGCAAAGTAAGGCATGTGCCTTAGGATTATGGTCTCAGTTGGAACCAGGCCAGATGGAAACTTTTCTGATGTTTTTTTCTTCCTTCTCAATTGATTACCTTTTAACAAAAGAATGTGTTATCAAAAAAGTTGGAAGACATGGATTTATAACATTAGAGCTTGGTTTATGATACTGGCCAAGGCTTCTGAATATTCATAAAATTTTATTTTCTGATGAAAATGACACATTTCACATTAAATTTAAACATTAAACAAAACTCCATCGATTCCAAACCATCCAGAAGTGGCCAATGTTCACTTATTTAGAATAGATGCTTTCAGATATAGTTCTAGGAAGAGATCATTCTGGGCGTGTTTTCAGATTTGTAAAACTGGGATAGTGATTTTTTTCCTCTCAGGGCTGCTGTAAATGTTCCATAAACATTTGGAACATTCTTCCTTCATCTTTGACCTATTTAATTAGAAAAGAAAATAAACTTTGTGTGCAAGTATGCTTTTAAACATACTTGATGACTTTTTCATCATTTCCAGCTGTTTTTTATGACGGCCAGGAGGGTACCTTTCTGGTGTGATATTCCTTTCTAGATATGCTCCTCTATATCTCTATAATCAACATTAAACAACAAGCTGATATCTCAGTTCAGCTACATACACTGCTCTTAAGAGAACCAAAATATACTAGAAACCCTTGATTTGAGATGCCTGAAAATGGAGGGGAGGTGATAGCTAGGGGTAGAAATTTTGCAGACTGTATGGTATTAGATGCATTCTCAATGTAATGAAAGGGCTACTTAAAAAGAATGGAAGAGCTAAGAGGTGGCAAAAAATGCCTACTGAAAAAGAATGAAAGAGCTAAGCCAAGAGGAAGAAGTGACCTAGGAGAAAAGGATCCCATTATATTTCCAGAGGCTTGAAGACTGATACCCCACCCCCACTCCTTCCAGAACTGAGGTTGTGCCCTGGAATTAAGAAGGTGAAATTTAACTTCCTGTAGAAGACTCCACTCTCTTGGTGTGAATCCACATTTGTTTGCATTCTCTCTATATATGGTATTGTACCACCATTCAAAGCACATTCATTTATTAATGCAGCTTTTGGAAAGGAGTAACTCAAAAATTAAAAGAAATACTACCACAGTGGAGCTAGTAGTTACTGCGGCTCATGATATTCCGCTATGTCCTTCAAAGTGGGCCAGCAGAAAGGACAATCCATTTTCACAAACCCTGTTATAATACTTTTTGTCTTCAAAGCTCATCTTGCAGGTCTTCATGTATACTGGCGTAATTCTCATGAATTATGGTCATGAGTAGGGAACATGTGTCCAGTCTTATTTGAGAGATAAATAATTTAAGGAAAGGGACAGGAAGTGATTAGTTTTAGTTGTTCCTGGGGAGAAACAGAATGAGAACTGAGGTCACTATTTGAATACAGAGGCTGCAGGAAGAAAGATATTCTTTTCGCAAAGTTGTGGAACAGGATTTAGAATTCAGGGATCCTGGCTGACTCATCAGTCAGTATCTACTCTTCCCTTTCAGCCCTCTGACAGTCTTCCAGGGCCCCATTCGTCATGTAGTTCTTATTGTCTCATGAAGCCTTCACTACCTCAGAAAAAGAAGGAAACATGCATCTGTGGAGATGTAGACACTAAGGAATGAGATGGCAGGGTGAGATAAAGGGAGAGGAGAGATGTTACTCTACTCCACACCTCTGCCACCTCCCCACCATATGGCTAAGAGATGTGAACTCCATGGCCTTTCTGAGGACACAGTAGGAAAACAGCATACAAAATCTCAGGGGGTAGAGAAGTGAACAGATAATACATTCAGGGGACAGAGTAAAGAAGTGTGTGCTCCAACTCCAGATCCCCTACGCAGAGACTGAATCAAGGAAACAAAAGCTTACCTGAACCAGATGTGAGGAGTGTGGGTTTATATTCCAATCTCTGTGTTCCAGGAGAAGATAGGATGAGGAAGAGCAAAAGACAACGGTACTTTTCCACTTACGTGTGCATTTGTAAGGCCCAAGGTTGAGGTTAGAGGTCAAGGGCTTAGGGAGCAGAATGCCATTGCTTGCTGTAGCTGAGGCACAAGAGCATGTCTGTAGGTTAAAGCCTGCTCGTACCAGACTTTCTCCCTCCCAGAAAACAGTGATGTGGCATTTACCCATGGCTCTCATGAGTCCCTTCCAACTCATCTCTCCCTTTTCCTCCTTTACTGCCTTGTTCCCTCTGTTACCGGATTTTGGGGTGCTGGAGTCTCCTTCTAGAAGTGATTTCTAGGTTTGTTCTGTCTCAAAGAGTTGAATGAAACAAGCATAAACAGTGGAAAATGTTCACATTTATTAAACATAGGGAAAAAGAGAAAGGTAGGGGATAAATGGGCTCTGCAGAGCAAGACTGGGCCAAGTAAAAAGGAAAAGGAAGGAAAAAATAAAAATACATCCTACAGCATAGGGTGGGCTACCAGAAGAGACACAAAAGTGAGTGCTTAATGGCAACTGTCCCTTTTTTATATTTTCCACTCTGGCGTCACATCAGGTCATCCTATCAAAAACCTGCCTGAGTTCTCACGAGAAGTCCACATGCGGGACTCAGAATTGTTCCTGCACATGTCCCCGGGATTGGGTCATGCCTCCTTTCCCAACCAGTTTTAGCCACGCCCTGTCTTCCTGCCTCACCTCTGCCACATTTCAAGCCTGCTGCTGCCATTTTGCCAGTTGCATTTCCACTGAGCTGGAAAGGAGGAGATGCCCATGAACAGGGACCAGGGAGTGTTACTGTGTTCTCCCTTTCCCAGAGGAATGAACATAAGAACTAAGCATGGGTAAGTGGGTTTGGGGAGGAGAAAAAGGGACAAAATGGAATCATGATCTAATTTTTATCAAGAGATTTAAATGCTTTCCTTGCTTGGTAGCTCTTCTATTTCTTTTCTTTTCTTTTTTTTTTTTTGTACCGGGGACCGAACTCGGGTCCTTGCGCTTGCTCAACAGGCGGCGAAATCACTGAGCTAAATCTCCAGCTCTCTTCTATTTCTTAAAAGACAATAATGGCAGGTAGGTGGGCATAATTATGACCCTGTTGAGAAGAAAGTTGCTTCTATTTAGAAAACTCCCTACAAAAGTCCAGTCCCTGGTTTAACATTGACATGCAGTCATTGCTAAGCCCTCCCATTCTGCTTTTTGTCTTTTCCTTCCTCTTCTCCCTCTGTGTTACCTGCTCTTGACTATCATTATGGGTTCAGGCAAGTGACACAACTACAGAAAAAAGTACATGGATTCAGAAAGTCTCAGGGATCAGCAATCATGAACATAGGTTGAGAGAGGGAAGGAGCCATGATTGAGAGGAGTGGAGGAAACATGCGGCCTTTTGATATGGACATCCCGGGGAAAGGAGGGAGGGGAAGAGGCCAGGAAAGCTTCTAGAAGCTGTTTTGTTCCAGATCTGGAATTTAAGGACTTAGTAAAGAGGAAGAGCTAGGTAGGCAATACCAAGAAAGTTTTCTCCTATGTCTTCTCAAGCTCTGGAACTCTGTGAAACTTGAGTTGGCAAGAAGGAACTCTCTCCCACTTGAGGGCTGCAGCAGACTCCTCAGAGGAAATCTGAGTTCAATAGCATAAGCTAAGTGGGTTGTCTCTTCAGGAGTACCCCCTTATCTGCCGATCCTCAGGCCTCTGGGCGCGGATTTCAGCTGCCATAAAGGGAGTGCTTCTGGTTTTTCTTCTTTACCTTATGCCCCATTCTATTTTAAGAGACAGGATCGCAAGGATCTTATTTAGTGGCATTTCCCATGTTGAATCTCATATGCTATGGCTTGTATTCTAGATGTCTCACCAAAGGCTCATGTGCTCATAGATGGGGCTTTTCAGAGGTGGCCAGATCTAGGGTGTGTGAATGTGGATTAAGGGTGTGTGAATATGGATTAAGGGTGTGATAACTAAATTAGTCAACTGATTGGTTAGCTTTGTTCTGGGTGTTGGTAATGGGAAGACCTACCCTAGGTGTGGGTGGCATCATCCATTAGGTTTATAGCTTGAACAGAATAAAAAGAAAATAAGGAAGGCAGGCTGCAGTTGCTTGCTGTTTTCTGCCTGCCCTGCCATGGACCGGTTTTTCTCTGCTATGCCCCTCTGCCACACTACCTTGCCTTGGAGCCAGCCGACTGTGGACTGACCCCTCTACAAACTGTGAGCCAAAATAAGCCTTTCCTCCTTCAACTTTGGGTGTCAGGTATTTT